TTGGCTTCCTACCTGATTAATCAGGGATTTAATGACAAACTGTTATAAGGCAGGGAAATTTCTAGAACCATAGGGTGTAAGAACAGTGTTAAAGAAAACTCCCAGTGCTAGGTCATTTTTGTAATGGACAGCTGATTGCAACGCAGGTTTTGAAAGCATTATTAGAGTGCTTATTCATTTCTCTGTAACGTTGGGCACCTCACGAATAACCTTTATACTCGTGAATAAATAACCAGTTCAGGAAAACAGCACTATTTCCTATTAATGGTTTTAACTGGGTTTTCATAAAACTCGGTCAGAACTTTGTTTCAAACCTGTGCTAACACCTTCAAAGCTTGCAAACTGTTTAGCTGTCCTAGATTTGTGAAAGTACACCCCTAGTAACTATTCTGTGCTCAAAAGCGGTATTTGCTATAACCAAGAATGAATTTAACTTCTAGATTGCCCTTTTAAGAGCTACTGCTTCAAAGCACCCAAGAAGCACCAAATCATTGGCTATTTTAAAGGGCCTTAAGCTCTTACAGGTCAGGGGTTTCCCTGCCTCAAAGATTAGCTTCTAAAACAGGAGTCTTAGGCTGACATGGTCATAAGCTGCACAAGAGTGTCATCTCATTGCTGTTTAAATAATGATGGGATTATTTTAAGCTGTTATGTCTGTAAGTATACATCTGTGATTTAAGTGCTGATCATCTTAATGTTGATTTTTAAAATGGTGCTGTTTGTAATGTCTCTTGCTAATTCCTGCAGAGTCATTCTTAACCAGCTCAACATTTCAGTAAGAGCGGTGTCAGGAGCTTCACACTAGCTACGATCTAGTGGCACTCCATGCAGCATCAGTATCAAGACTGGAACACTTTGCTTTCCCATCTTTGTTGAAATGCATTTGCCACTTGTACAAGGTATTACCAAGCCAGCTCCGTTTCTGATTTATGCTTGTAATCCTGGTGCTCTTTCTGCTCCAACTTCCCTTGCTGACAGATGAGTTGAAGTTCTGGTGGGGAAAGCTGTTTGGTCTAATGCTGACTTTGTGCACAGCAGGGGCCCATCACCGTTTAGCAGTGCTCACTACCGCTCCAAAGAACAGATTTGCTCAGACATCCAAGGCATCAGTTGCAAACAGGAAAGGAAATAAGCTTCCTATCCAGGTATCACCTTCATGAGGATGAAGGGGTTATTTACTGGTTTGGTTGAGCAACGTGAACTCTCTTTTGGTTTTTTAACAATATAAATCCAATGATATATTAAGCTTTGGAGAACCATCTGGCTCTGTAAGCTGGGCAAACCTGTTCTTTAATATAGTATGTATGGAAGGTAATTTGAGAGCACTATCTTAGCAACAGCAGGGTCATAATAAAAATAAAGCTTCGTGCAGTAAAAAGCTGTAATTGGTACCAGAGGTCTGATTACTTCCTCCCACAAAGGCTAGATGCCGCTCGGTTCAGAATGCTTGCTTTGTCTTATTCTGCCTTTCCTGCCTCTGTTACTACTTGCAGTATTATTCAGCGGTGAATTAAAAGCATGTTTGTTTAGAAGAGGCCATGTTTGCCCTCATTCCTGAGTATTTATTTTAATCAGTGTCAGAACCTTACTTTAGCTATGCTTGTGTCTGCAGACCTGCTAGCTCAGTCGCAGATGGGGACAGAGAAGAGCTTTTGAGGATCTTTATAAACCAAGGCCTGAGTGGGGCTATGGAATCCACCACATGGAAACTTGCCTGGGGCAGATCTCGTTGTTTGCCTCTGCTGTGTGTGTAGGCAGCTTTAGACATGTCAATGCTCATTGAGCTTCTTACAGAAGCTTTGAGTGCAGATACTGTAATACTGAGGTTAGGCGGCTGAGCTGCAAAACAAGAAGCGGTTGATTCTGGTTGGGTTTCGTTTGCATGGCAAGCTACCATGCTAACAGCCCTTTTGAGTTTACACTTCTTATATGTGAAAGTCAAGCGATGACAGGGGAGATCATGCTTTATCTGTGCTAGTTTTAATTCTAATTCACCCTCTAAGTCCAAAGCTTTATAAACTGATGAGGTCTTTGCTCGTGATGTAGCCTTTGAAATGGAGGTCTGGGGTCAAACTTGTGTATACAAACAACACAGCCTGGTCTTGAGAAGAGTTAAACCCATGAAACTGAAGAGTCCAGGGAATTTCCAGTCATTTAAAGCACTATGCGTTCTTTCATGGGTTGACTAAGATGCTACTCTGCGGTAGTATGTAGCTTCTTGCAAACTTTCTCCATATAAAGCTCATTGCTCCTGAAATTAGTATGGGGGGACATTAAATCTCCACACACACACCCCCTTTCTACTACAAAGACTTCACCCTTGTCTGCCCTTCAACTAAAGCTTTAAGTTTCCTTCCTCTCTGACTTCGAAGGCTTCAGTTTGTGCTCAAATAGGAAAGGCAGAACACTTTCTTTGGGAAAGATTATTTTAATGAAGTTATGAGCTTAAAGTCTGAACTGAGAACTCGGCTGCAGTTTCATTAACAACAGCCTTTGGCATGAGGCACAGCTGGAATTATTACTGGTGGACCTATTACTAGTGACCTAGTAGTAGGAAGTATTACTACTAACCCCACTGCTGGTGGGATCATTACAGCTGGAACTATCGCTACTGGAACTGGTGCTGCACCCCTTACATGCCTTCTACTTAGTGACTTTCAAATTGCTTTTAGAGAGCTAGATGATCTTAAGGTCCTTTCCAACCCTAACTATTCCATGATTCTATGACTACGCAGCTTTGGACATGGCAAATATTCGCCTTGGGACGGAGGGAGTCAAATTTAGCTGAAGTTGCTTTTGACATCTGGAAAGGTTGGTTTATTTTCCATCCAGACAAGTAGACAAGAACAAGTTTCTCTTGGATCATCAATCTAGCCCCAGAGGTCAGGGACATTTGAAACCAACCAGCACTTGAAACACAAAAATAATGTGAGTATGCTAAATTTTATCAACGATTTATACGTCGGGAACATAAAGTACTTAACTGGTGAATATCCCAAACTTGGGAGGGTTTTTTGATTGCAATAGCACTAAGAAAAATGAACGTATTAAATGAGAGGGAGAGAAGACTTTGACTCTTTTGCGTTTTGGTTTGAATGCTCAGTTACGATGAACTTTGTTGGTAAAATAAAAAGCAAAGTGGTAGAGCAGAGGGTTAAAATAAGTCTTGATACAAGGGCTTCTCTGTCTCCAGTTAAGAATATTTGGTTCTAGCCAGATAGGAACTAACGGGTTTTGCTTTTGACAAAGCAGTCATAAACAGTAAACAGCTGATAACATGATTCTTTTTTACCCTTTTGAAGATCAACTTATAGTCATCACTATAAATTCACTTCATTAGCAGTATCAAACGTTGAAGGAGTTCTATATCCCTACAGGCAGTTATTAAATACTGTGTCTTCATGTCAAATACTGGAGTCTTTGTCCTTGTTACAGGTGTAAGGCTCCTCCAATGGAAGCTCTCCTGGAGGAGAAACTCAGCTTAGGAAGAAATAAATTGAAGCTCTTCCCAAGAAGTGCTGTCCTTTGAGCTCCGTCCTTCGGGCCATCAAAGAACTATTGCATGGTCCATCTTTGTTTCCTCTCCTCTTGGCTGGCTGAAAGATGAATTCTGCCCATCCATGACTTTGCAAAGGCAGGCCAGGGCAGTGATGCCCTGCGGACATAGTTATGACCAAACGTAAAACCAGAGTCACCCTAACTATACTTACTAGTGCAAAACTTCCTCTGCTGCTGCCACCTAAATAATGTTGTCATCAGACATTGTTTTCTGCATTCCATAGCTTGGATAACTTCCTTACCTCTTATTTACATGAAAATTAAATTAACGCCCTCAAAACAGTGCTGGTGTAAAGTGAGACTGTGCAGCGGCCCGAAAGGACTCCGTGGTGTTTACTGCACGTATCAGGATTTGTGTGTATGTCACTAGCAGAAGTTGGTGAAAACCAGCCCTGGAGCTGCTGTATTGTATTACAAGAATTATGACATCTAAGGACAATGGGCAGGGATATTACTGTGTTCCAGCAACAGCCCTAGAAAGAAATCTTCTGCTTGAAAGTAATATAAATGATGTACATTAGATTAAACACTTCTTAAAAGGGAGGCCCCTGTCCTTTGAAGAAACTGGTTATATGCTGGTGAGTTAGAATAGAACTGTAATTCCAAAAAGGACTTGTTTATCATAGAATCCCAGGCTGCTTTGGGTTGGATGGGTCCTTAGAGTTCCAAGCCCCTGCCATGGGCAGGGACGGCTTCCACTAGACCAGGTTGTTCCAAGCCCCGTCCATCCTGGCCTTGAACACTGCCAGGGATGGGGCAGCCACAGCTTCTCTGGGCACCCTGTGCCAGCGCCTCAGCACCCTCACAGGGAAGAATTTCTTCCTGATGTCTCATCTAAATCTCCCCTCTGCCATTAAATTAAAGCCGTTCCCCCTGTCCTGTCCCTACATGAGGGGATTCTCCGCTTTGCTCCACTTCAGTCCCTCCCCCCACCCCCATTCCTGTGCCCAGCTCTGGGGGGCAACAACACAGGAGGGATGTGGAGCTGTTGGAGCGAGTCCAGAGGAGGCCATGGAGATGCTCTGAGGGCTGGAGCAGCTCTGCTATGGAGCCAGGCTGAGAGAGCTGGGCTGGGTCAGCCTGGAGAAGAGAAGGCTCCTTAAGAGGTGACCTTAGAGCAGCTTCCAGTGCCTAAAGGGGCTACAAGAAAGCCGGAGAGGGGCTTTTGGACAAGGGCCTGTAGGGGCAGGACAAGGGCACGGCTTCCCCTCCCGCTGGGGGATGCTGACCCGGTGCTACCCTCGGGGGCGGGGCGGTGGGGCGGGGTTTATCCGCTGCCCCCCCTCCGCTGCGGGCCGGTGCGGTCTGCGGGCGGTCCCGCGTCCCGGCGGGCGGCCGTGCAGGCGCGGGTAAGGAGCGGGCGGGGGTCGGGAGCGGCCCGGCGTCTCCGTCCGCACTGGAACGTTCCCGGTAGTCGGGGCGCAGCTCCGCAGTCCCGGCTGGGAACGGGCCGGTGGATGGGGCATGGGGCGGCTTTGTTTTGGTCTGAGAACAGGACTGAAAGCGTATGTACTTGGCTCGGGGTCTGTGTGGGTGGCTGGGGTGGTTGTTCCCCCCCCCCCCCCCCTTTCCGCTTCTCTTCTTTTTCCCCTCTTTTTTGCTTTTTTCTTCCCCTTTCTTCCCTTTTTCTTTCTTTCCTTTTTTTTTTTTCCTTATTTCTCCTTGTTTTTTCCCCCCTCTTAATTTGTCTTTGGTTTTATTTTAATTTTTCTTCCTTTTTTTAATTTTTTTCCCCCTTTTCCTGTTGTATCTTAAAGCAGAAGCGCTGAAAAGGGGATGGCTTCTCCTGAGGTATCCAGAGCTTTGAACCGCTGCAGAAGTCGGTGGGGTTTGAGTGATGGATATCCTGCAGGATCGAGTTCCCATGACTTTTGCTTTGTTAGGGAGGAGACGGGGGCGATGGAGAAGTTTTTTAGTTTAATACTTGAAGTGAAATGAATTCCTGGAGCCTTCCTCATGTTTTGTAGCGGCTCAGCTGATGACGTTACGCTGTGGATGTAGGCTCATGGTGCTTGAAATCACTGCTGCAGGGATCTCTGTTGTGCGTGCAACAGGGCTCAGAGCTTGGGAGAGCAACTGGAGCGGATGCAGAAGGATGGGCTGCGCGGGGCTGAAGCGGTTTGACTGCGCTTACCGTGGGCACCCTTAGAGCAAACTCCACAGGTGATATTTTGAGCATAGAGCAGCTGAGAAGGAATATGGGAGGTTTTCACTTTCCAGCTTTAAATAAGTACTTGCTGAAGGGGGACGTTTCAGTTTGTTTCTTGTTAAAGATGTGGGTGTTCTGATACTTGTGGCAAATAAAAGCCCTTCTGAAACGTGCTAGAAAAAATGCCCACTAAGGCATTTTAGGGTAACCCAGGGACAGTCCGGTCCCAGAAGTCTCCGCTCGCCTTCCCCGGTGTTTTTCCCTGTCTGAGGGGGCTGCACAGAAACCCTCAGTGATTCCTCTGCAAAGAGGACTTGGGTATTTTTGGGAGAGCGGTAATGACTGTCTGGGGAGGAGGGAGCTGAACTTCTGGAGCCTGAGGCTTTTAAATGCGAACCGCTCATTTTGCTGTTAACTCCCTTTTCCCTGTCTGGAGGCTGAGCCCTTCCCATGTCTGTAAGAGAAGAAGGAAAAGGGGTTGCTGGAGACAAACCGTGGAGGTGCCTGGTTTAGTGTGATGAAAGCTCACCTACAGCGAGAAGGTGTTGCGAGGAAAGATTTGCTGCTCTCTTGACTGAGTGTATGAGCAGAGAGCTTAGCACTGCGCTCTGAACTAGTTGTAGCTGAGCACAGAAGTAGTTTGTACTGGCCAGAGACACGACTTAACTGTGTTGGAATTGTAAATCACACCACTGGGAAAACCTGCCTGAAGGCAGGTCCAGTGCCCTTGTTTCGTGCTGGGGTTTCATTATTTCCCTCCCTTCTCCCTTTGCTCGTACAATGAATGCTGCTTTCTATCACTTTAAAATTATTGGCTTTTATAAGCTTAATGGCCCAGCTTGTTGATGCTTCTGCCCAGATCCAGATCTCTAAATAGAAAAGAATGTGAGCTTTTAAGTTAATCTGTGTACAGCTGTTAACTCCAACATGAAACACCCCATTACATGACTAGAGATGCGCTATCACGGACCGCGTTTTAGTTCACCTTTTGGTAAACAAGATTCCTTTAGCCCACCCCTCATTTCCGTACAGTTTTGATTGGTATGAATAGAAGCTGCTTAAAAAGGAACCCAGTGAGGCTTTTTTTTGGATGGCTGCATTACGAATTACACTTTCTGACATGACTGTCATCAGTTGCTATTACAAATACCTCTATTCAAATTAACGAAGGAGGATTCAGCTGTGACACTTCTCCTTGCCAGGGCTAGTATTGTGGCACTGTATTATACTATAAGGCTTTAAGGCAGGGAGAATGGCAGTAACGTCTGTCAGAAGACGTTACTGACTTGTCATGTTCAGAAGACCTCTGTGTATCTTACACCATGGGTTAGTCTCTGCAAAGGTACTAGCACTTGTTTATTGGGCACTAAAGCATCAGGTAGTTTTGTATCCTTCTTGGCATTTCATCCACTGCTTCTCTTGGATACTTGGATACAGAGGACCGGGTAGAAATTCACTTCTGAGTATGACCAGTTTAATATGTTGATACATGATCTGTGTGCCAGAGAGTTCAGGCCTTTATATTGTTTTTGCTTGTTTCATCCAGAAGGCCTAAAGAAACGAGGCTGTGGATTTTACAGAGTGGGACAGGCACCCATAACTGCAATTGTGCTGCTTGGTAGCATGTAATAAATCTCTGCCTCTGCTCAGGGGGCGGGGAGAGGGAAGGGTTTGGGATGTGCAGCTACTTGCCAAGAGCCCTGTGTAGTGCTGCCGTGACCAGGGCACTTTTGTGGGATGTTTGTGTGTTTCTAATAATAACAGTGTGTTTCCTAAACACAGTTAAAAATTGCCTCAGTAGATGCAGAAACATTCCATGAACTTCGTGACCTGCAGAAGTACTCTGAATAAAAATAGATCGATTTTCCTGTCTCTTCCAGGCCAGAGCACTGGGGGGAGGGCTTGTTGTGTTGGTCTGCTTTGGTTTGGCTTTAAATTACCCCCCCCCCCCCCCCAATCCTTCTGTACAGTGAAACATCAGCTAGTGACAACAAACAGTTTACATGAGACTCTTCTGATGCTGTCCATTGGCTTTCCAAACTCTGCCTACAGCGTCTAAGTTGTGCAGTCACTATGGAGATGCTGAAGGGGAGTGTGTTCAGAGAAGATAAAGCAGGACTGGCTGAGTGAACTGAATGGGAGCAGGAACAGGAGCACCTTTCAGGGGGGTACCCGCGCTGCTCCCTGCAGCTTGGCAGCACAGTGGCCTCGGCCTCTTCCCGATCGTTCTAATGGGGGGGTTCGTTTGCAGGAAGGGAAAAGGCCCTGGGGAGAGGTGAGTTGTATACACAAGAGAGACGTGCATATGCCCAGTGAAGTGAATTAGAAGTGATTTACATATCTTGTCTAACCAGAGTGTAGGAAGAAATTCAGTGCAACAGCACGGAGCAGTTCATCAAAACCCAGTCTCCAGCCACAAAACATTTAAGGATCACAGGCTTGCAGTGAGCGCTCTCTAACATTAAAAACCCAACCAAACCCCCACGTTTTTTGACCCACCTTTTTTTTTACCTATTTGGTTTTGAGAAGATGTGATTACATCTCACATGACGGCTGGCAATCACGTCTTGCACCCAAGTGATGTCTTAGAAGGCACTGTGATATCCAGGAAGGAGGAGGAGATAAATACAGAGCAGTTAATATGGATTTGGTCAGGCTTTTTATTAGTTCTTCTAGGAAGAAAGAGTTTTCTTCTGTTCAAGGTGTTCCGTACACCAAAGATAACAACTTTGTGGTTCTTACAGTTTAATCCTATCCTCATTCACGTCAGTAAAAATGCCCTAGCTCGCTGATGGAGAAACTCATGAGCGACTTCCGAGAGTTGCTTCAGGTGTCTGTTCGGGCATCCTTCCCAAGGACACATAAATCAGATTTCTATTTTAGTTTATTTATTTATTTTTAGTTTATTCTCTTTAGTTTATTTTATCCCACGCTGAAAGTTATGTTTGTGATAATAAACTCTGCAAAAAACCCCCCAAAACCACCTGGTGCAGATCCCAGGTGTCTGCCTTGTAGCGATGTATGAAAGTCTCTCAGTTCCTGTAGAAAGCATCTTTGTCACATCCCCATAAAATCCTATGGGCACTTCCAGTCAGGCGTTGTCTCTGGGCTTTCCTGCCTCAATTTCTATGCTTAGCTGAGAAAACACTGAAGGACAAAGCTGGTCTGACTCACCCGTGATGGAGGGGGGTGAGGGAGGATATGGGAATCAGGGCTTACAGTGTGTGGGTGATGGGTTGAAGCTGATGGTGTTCCACACAAGACCGGTCATGCGTAATGTTTTGTTGTGTTTCTGAGGCAGCTTTGAAATGGCTTCAAGTCTTGAGTGTTAGGGAAAGGCCTCCTAGAATGGAAGGAGACATGAAAGGAGTTTAGTTACAGTGACCAGCAGCTGAGGTCTGGGCATCTTTCATGGCAAAGATGGAAATTGTTTTGAATAGCTACACTAAACTTCCATGTAAACTGGATGGTCCTCCCCATCTAACCTCCTCCTGTTGTGAGCAAGAAGAGGAGCTACTTCTTTGGGGAAGACCTGTTTCAACCACAGGCTACAACAGTTGGCAGGGTTGTGCATCTGGCAGCAGTGCTGCTTTTCGTTCATTTTTCATAGAATCCCAGACTGGTTTGGGTTGGAAGGGACCTTAAAGCTCATCCAGTTCCAACCCCCTGCCATGGGCAGGGACACCTTCCACTAGACCAGGTTGCTCCAAGCCCCATCCAACCTTTAGGTATTGGAAGAAATTTGAGAGCTTCCCATAGGTTTTCCCTCCTGTGTGAATCTCATACCTGCTTACAGCCTTTAGAGCATGAGATGTGACTCTGAGTAAGAGAAGAGAAGATGTTTCTTCAGATCTCCTTCATCTAGTACCTCTATGTAGCATCCCTCCTGGGTGCTGGATGCTCTCCCTTGTGTACAGAGAGCATCAGTGCCATTGCTGTCAGTGTTTCCCCTTTTGGTGGGGAGTCCTCCACGTCCCAAACCATCCACTAGACTGCTTCAGCCCTAAAACTGTTGATTTTCCCTTGCTTGCATGCACAAATATCAACCACTTGTGAACTCCCCTTTGACCGAAGGCAGAAACAAGTAACAGCGAGGAGTGTGTGCATGAGTTCCGCCTGCCTTTGCTCTGGGGATGTGTGTGCTGTCAAAAGCTGATAGCTTGAATTCCTCCGGCTCTTGAGGCCACGAGTAAGGAATTCCAAATTAAACAGATCAGCTGTGAGCTCTGAACCCCTCCCAGCCGTACCTATGCCCCAGCGAGCGAGCAACGTAAATATAAGTTCACATTACACTTTGAAGTCAGAGCGTATTTTGGACTATTACACCAGTTCCTTATTTTCTAGGAGTAACCACAT